GCCTGGGGCTGCGCGTTCCCCGCTCCCTCCGGGGCCCGGCCCGTCTCCCCCCGCCGGCCAGAGCCGCGAGGCTGGGTCCCGGCCCGGCCGCGGAGTCAGGGGCAGAGCGGCCTGTGCTGTGAGACTGCCCGGGCCCCTCCCCCGGCTCCCTGCAGCGGGCAGTGCCCGGCGCTGCTGCACACCCGGCCCACGGCCTCCCACGCCGGGCCCGGCCCGGGGCACTGCGGCGGGCAGTGCGGGCTGGGGGCCTGCCCACGGCTCGCTCACGTGTCTCTGTGCTCAGCCCCGAGGAAGCACTTGGGGCCATACTTGGGGGCAACTTACGCTGCTCAGAGACTTAGGAAGGCGCCTTGTTTTGTTCCCCTTTTTCTCTGACTTAGCGTTGCCTCGAGGGATCTGTATGCCTGCTGCCTTCAAGATCCTCTTCTCACAGACCGCCAGGACACTAAGCAGAAGGGAAGGACTTTGCTTGCCCCAGAGGCAGGCTTTTCTACTGAGATTTGAAAGCTGCCTTCTGGGTCTCCCTGTGGCCAGCCCATTTACTTGGTCCCGGTTGCTGGTAAGAAATAAGTCTCTCCTTTCTGCCAGCAGAAGCCGGGCAGCTTGTGCTGAAGACTTCGCTGTTCCTTCAGCTTTGCGTGTTTGGCATCGTAGGGTCTGCACAGTCCCTGATGAGATGGCGGAGCAGAGGTACTGCGTGGACTATGCCAAGCGCGGCACAGCCGGCTGCAAGAAATGTAAGGAGAAGATCTTGAAGGGGATGGTGCGCATTGGGAAGGTGGTCCCCAACCCCTTCACAGAGTCGGGCGGGGAGATGAAGGAGTGGTACCATGTGAAGTGCATTTTTGAGAAGCTCGAGAGGGCTCGGGCCACAACAAAGAAGATTGAGGACATCACAGACTTGGAGGGTTGGGAAGAGCTCCAGGATCCGGAGAAAGAGATGATAAACCAGCATATCTCAGGTGAGATGCTTGAGGGAGAACCTCTGTGCCATTGTCTTGGGCCTTAATAATCTGTAATATTAGGCAAGTTTCGGAGTAGCAGCCGTGTTAGTCTGTATCCGCAAAAAGAACAGGAGTACTTGTGGCACCTTAGAGACTAACACATTTATTAGAGCATAAGCTTTCGTGGACTACAGCCCACTTCTTCGGGTGCATATTAGGATGTAATATTAGGCAATGCTGTATGTCAGTGATTCCTACCCAACAGTATATGGACCAGTAAACGGAATTGCAGTTCTTTGTGACTAGTTCGGTTGTCTCTTCCTCTGTATTATGAGTCTCTAGGATGGCTGCTTTCCATTCAGTGGTGCTGTAATCCAGCCTGGAGATTGAGAGGTGTGAAGTCACAACATGAATTTGGAGACGCCCAAGTTCTCTCATGTACAAGTGAATGGGAGGTGTCAGGTGCTAGCAAGTATAGCTACATTCTTTGGTTAAATTAATACTTGCTCAAGAAAGATTGGAAGCTAGTGTTGTATGCTGTAATTCCCCAAACCATTTTCAGTTGCTGTCACCTAGTTGCCACTGCCTTTACCATCTAACTTTTCCTAAAAATGGCCTGCTTGCACTGAAGTTGGTAGTTTTTGCTTTTTCAAACATCAGTATTGCTTCTATGCTTTTGTTTTCTACAACACCAGTTATTCCACTGAGTCGTGATTTTTTTTCCTGTTCCCAATCTGAATTGAGGACTTCCCTTCACAAATTTCTCATCTTTAAGCCCTTTCCTTGAAAAGCTTTTCACCTATATGCATCCGAAGAAGTGGGCTGTAGTCCACGAAAGCTTATGCTCTAATAAATTTGTTAGTCTCTAAGGTGCCACAAGTACTCCTGTTCTTCTTTTTGCGGATACAGACTAACACGGCTGCTACTCTGAAACCCACCTTTTGGAGTCAGTCATCTAATTTAGCTGTTTAATCAGTTGACAGTGGTCACTGTTGAAAGAGGAGGAGTCTTGTATCATTCCACTGGGGAAAAGTGCATTGCGTCTGCAGTTGTTACAGACCCTAGCTACCTTAGAAACCATCTAAGAATCAAAACTTACTTTTTTTCCAAAGAGGTTGTGGCAGCTAAGGCTTTGGAGTGGATCCTTCCTCATTGCTCCATGATACTCAGGGTATGTCTTCATGGCACAGTTAACTTAGGTGATTGCCTGGGTTAGCCTAGTTTGAGTGTGAGCAGCTATACCACAAAGTATACCTGAGTTATTGTGTCCTCACTGGTGCTGCACCTTCACTTGTGTATCACTAGAACTTCTAGGAACATATCCCATGGTTCTTTGAACTGCAGGGAGCTGAGGTGCTCTGATTTCCCAGTGAGTTGAGAAAACTTGTCTGTCCTTGGGGGCAGTTGAGGGGAACTGTGGGAAGTCATTGGAGGACTATCCGTACTTGAGCTATTTATTATTATTTGTATTACCGTGGTGCCATGTTCATGGACCAGGCCCCCGTTGTGTTAGGCACTGTCCAAACATAGAACAAAAAGAAGGTCCCTGCCCCAGGTAGCTTAGCCTGCATCATCACTGAAAAATGGGAGGATTACCAGCCTGAGTGAAAGTGGCACCCAGACTCTAGCCTATCCCCCCAGATGGGCAAGTTAACCCAAGTTTAAAGCATCCCTAAACTCATGTGAGAGTGCTTTTTATGTGTGGATCGGAGGGGTTAGGGGCAACATCTAAACAAGTGCCTGAGTTAACTCTGCAGTGAAGAGAGATTCTCAGAATTCAAGCACTAAAAGAGTGGAAGAGGGAAGCACTGTTGTCTAATGGTGAGAGCAAGACACTGGGAGCCTCAAATCTTGGCTACCATTCCCCGCTAGCTCTGTCTTGCTGTGAGCTTTGGCATATCACTTAACCGCTCTGTTTTCTTATTTGTAAAATGTTTACCTATTCCCTCCTTCCATGTGTTATGCGGGTTAATTGTTTGTAAGTTCTGACAGAAGTTGCTCGTTGCAAAGTATTGTAAATTACTTACCTGATTTCGTTGTTGGGAATTACGGGTTGCGTTGACCCCGATGCTTTACCTCTTACTGTGTTCTACAGAGGCCAATTCCAAGGCTGCGACCACACCTAAGAAAAAGGCGACAATCCAGGCGAAGATCTCCCCCAGTGGACAGATAACCAGTCCCAAGAAGGAGCTACTAGCTACCCCCAATCCATCACCAAAGAAATTCTCTGGCTTCGCAGGTGGGAATTATGCTGATGCTGGGGGAACCTTCATTCCTCTTATAACAGCATTAGCAGTGGAGTTTCAATTTGAGTCAAACCTCAGGAGTTTATATCTAGTGAATAAGAAATGATTTAGTGGTAACAAAACTTTATATTTTATTTACTTTGTGTAGACAAAGTTAAGTGTTTTCTAAGCTGTCAGTCATAAAAGAACTGATGTTTGCATTATTTTGGTGATAAATTATTGGAGATATCCCATCTCCTAGAACTGAAAGGGACCTTGATAGGTCGAGTCCAGCCCCCTGCCTTCACTAGCAGGACCAAGTACCGATTTTGCCCCAGATCCCTAAGTGGCCCCCTCAAGGATTGAACTCACAACCCTGGGTTTAGCAGGCCAATGCTCAAACCACTGAGCTATCCCTCCCCCTTTTGATGTGTACAAAAGGGATTAAACCTACCAAATCTTCTGCCCAGAAAGAGTAAGGAGACTGGAGAACTGTATTTATAAGTCTAGATCAGTGGCTTCCAATCTTTTTCATTTGTAAGCCCCTAAAAAATGCAACCCCCTTTGGAAATCTTAGACACCGTCTGCAGACCCCCAGGAGCTCGTGGACCACAGGTTGAAACCACTGGTCTAGATCAAATGTTGACTCCAGTTATCTGTAATCAGAAGGACCTGCACCTGTCAGTGGAAAAGCTCTGATTGACATTAGGGGGAGCAGGATCTGGACTCAATTGTATGCATGAACAATGATGTTATTTTGAAACCTATAACTGAAGTGGAGAGCATTTTTATTTTGTGACTTACGCTGGCTACCTGGCTGGTTCTTTGAAGAGCCTTTGGGATTTGGAAACTGCACCTTTTTCTATGGAAAGAGAGGCTGAAATAAATCAGGTAGCACAATCTGGGATTTTTTTTTAATATTTAGTGACACTTGTTAAAGTAAAATCACTTTCCCTCAAAATTGCAGAAATGTGAGCATAGGCCTTCTTTGCCTTGGTACCACTGGAAAAAACTTCATTTCTAAATGAAAATTCAGTAAACATGTTTTATTGTATTGGACAAACTCTAGTTTTGTAGGTTATTTCATCGTGCTCAGAATTGTATAACAGAAGCTAGAGATGGAAAGACTCCATTATTTCACCCAGTCTTTCTTGCCCATATAGGATTCTCTTATGCTGTTTTCTAGTTTTGTCCAGTTTAGCTCTAAGAAATTGAGTGTCCATCTTTCTTTTGGGTGAGGGAAGGGAAACCACAGAGTTGGCAAGTGTAGAAATAAATTTCTCATAGTTTTCAGAATATAACTGTCCAGAAGCTGTGCAGATCTCTTCATCCCTCCCAAGTGGAGTAGTATCCTGTAACTGAAAGCTTCTGTAATAAGTTGCGTATTTGCTGATTAGTTCCTGAACCTTAGAATCATAGAATATCAGGGTTGGAAGGGACCTCAGGATCTAGTCCAACTCCCTGCTCAAAGCAGGACCAATCCTCAACTAAATCATCCCAGCCAGGGCTTTGTCAAGCCTGACCTTAAAAACCTCTAAGGATGGAGATTCCACCACCTCCCTAGGTAACCCATTCCAGTGCTTCACAACCCTCCTAGTGAAATAGTGTTTCCTAATATCCAACCTAGACCTCCCTCACTGCAACTTGAGACCATTGCTCCTTGTTCTGTTATCTGCCACCACTGAGAACAGCCGAGCTCCATCGTCTTTGGAACTGCCCCTTCAGGTAGTTGAAAGTAGCTATCAAATCCCCCCTCACTCTTCTCTTCTGCAGACTAAACAATCCCAGTTTCCTCAGCCTCTCCTCATAAGTCATGTGTTCCAGCCCCCTAATCATTTTTGTTGCCCTCCGCTGGACTTTCCAATTTTTCCACATCCTTCTTGTAGTGTGGGGCCCAAAACTGGACACAGTACTCCAGATGAGGCCTCACCAATGTCGAATAGAGGGGAATGATCACCTTGTGAGCAGTAAAGAGGCCTGGGTTTAGTTAATTACGTTATTGCTAGGGTATTGATCCTCTTGTCTCTAACATCAAGACAAAAAGATGCTCACTGGGTACACAGAGTAATTACATTATTACAGTAGAACCTAGTTTATCCATAGGCAACTGGAAATTGGATTGTGTCCCCTCAAGTTCACCTGTTGCATAGTAAAACAAATTTCAAATTAGTTAAATCAGGGGACTTGGAATTTGTTTTATTTGGATGAACTGGTTGTAGTGTACTTCAGGAGGCCGAATCCGGTTTGTGGCTCGTGGGATGGGCTCCATCTTGGCATCTGCCTCTGGAAGTTGAGTGGGAAGAAATGAAAAATGGTTAGGGAGGGATCATAAGGGAGCCTGCAGCTTTGTCAAGTCTTTTCCTTCCACTGAAGGTTGCCTTTTGCTGTGAGAATATTGGGGAAACCTGATGCTGGCGTGGAGAATTGCCTATACAGTGAGAATAAAATAAAATTATCTTGCTGACAGATCCTTTCTCATTGAGATTTTAACTTTATTTCATAAATTCCAGAAAATTCTCATGTGCTTGGAGCGCAAAGGACATACTAAAGTAGTTGAATTTTTTGTTAAAAATGCACATTCAGATTTTTAATCATGATTTTACAAATCTCAGTGCTGTGCACTTCACTACTCATGTCTGAAGCTTTGCCAGCTTGCTGGGATTGTTCTTGCTTTTCATTTGCTTGGACAGTAGTGACCCTCATCTTCAAAGTTTGTACCATGTCATCCCAACCTATTTATTAAAAGTTAAATACATGCTCTGTCTCCTTTTGTACAGCTAAACCGGGCAATTCTGATGAAGCCCCTGAAAGCTCTCCCCACAAGTCTAGCCTCTCTGCAAAGAAGTGTGACCCAAAGCACAAGGATTGCTTGCTGCGGGAGTTCAGAAAGTTGTGCGCCATGGTTGCCGAGAAGCCCAGCTATAACGTGAAAACGCAGATCATTCAGGACTTCTTGCAAAAAGGAACTGCGGGAGGTGTGTGTGACTCCTGCTTGGCATTTTTCGGTGTTGGGAGGGCATCTGAAAATAATGAACAGCAAAGGCCACCCAGCTTTATGTCAGGGATGGGGACAAAGGACAGTCAAGTCCATGAGTAAGATGTGATTCACAGAGTTGTGCGCTGTACCACTTTTGTCTCTGTTGTGATGTGGGCAGTGCCTACAGTGTGGACTGCCTTGCTCTCATCTGTCTTCTAGATAAGAAGTTCAATAAGACTGGGTCCCGTGGTGTGATCAGGAGAAATTTTTGTAGCTGGTGCTAAATTTGCAGTATCAGAATTAGCTATGGGGGGCCAAGTGGGAGGTGCCCTTGAATGTAGAGTAGTACCCCATAGGGCAACACATGGTGGGCAGTGGTTGTGTTGCTGTACTTACCTGCTGGGCCCCTGCGTACATGAATCTAGAGCCTGTCGCTGAGACCAATGTCTGACAGTTTCTAATGATGCACATGCCCTTTTCCAGATGGGTTCCATGGTGACCTCTACCTGACTATTAAGCTGCTATTACCAGGTGTCATTAAAAGTGTTTACAACGTGAACGACAAGCAGATTGTCAAGTTGTTCAGCAGGATTTTCAACTGCAGCCAGGAGGAGATGGTCCGAGACCTGGAGCAGGTCAGTAAAGAGATGGAGACCGCATGTTCCTTTCATCTCTCACTGATTCAGCCCCTTGATACTGAAACGGTGCACATTTTCCTTCCCTTGGAAGGATTATAAGATTTCAGAGCTGGAGTTGGTGGTTCTCTTTCATCATGAAGCTTCGCACAAACTGGACCTCTTGTATAATGGTATTCCAACAGAATGCAGGTTAGCGTTATGATGTGCATCAGTTAACCCCTAGCATCCAGGACTAAAGCTATGCTAATGTAAAAGTTATGAACAATGCACTGGTCACACTTGACACACTGAAATCTTTGCTGCGGCTACCCCACGGGTTCTTATTTTGTCCCATTTAACTGATTGTTTTGCAAGGACTTACTTTAAAATAAAAGCAAAATTATAATCCAAACGATCATGATGGGTCCACTTCTGTAGGCTTAGAGGGTACTAGCTTCCAGTGAACTCAGCAAGAATTCACGGCACATAAACTCTACAAGATTGGATTCATGGTGAGGAAATTAAAGGCCCCAAATGTTGCAGTGGTGGAAAATATGACAGCAGGACACAATGTCTGTGTCTTGCATATACCACTTAAAAAATAAATGGCTAGGAAGACAATCCCAGTGCTGCGTCAGTGTTGCCCTTCCTTGCTCTTTGCTTGTGACCCATTCATAGAGGTCTGGCATCAGACTCCCTTTTTCCCCTCCTACTAAAGATCTAATTATTGACCCATACTTCATCTCCATCCCTTTTGCCTTAGTCTCCTGCCAAAGGTTTGATAAACACCCTGGTTTTGTTTGTTTTGGAGACAGGGAGATGTTTCCGAAACTGTGCGCATCTTTTTTGAAGAGAGCAAGTCCTGCCCTCCGGCTGCCAAAAGTCTCCTTACCATCCAGGAAGTGGATGAGTTCCTCACTCAACTTTCAAAGCTTTCCAAGGAGGACGACCAGCAAAGTGTGCTGCAGGATATCGCTAGCAGGTAGGGTGAGACCCTGGTAAATCTGACTCTGAGGCCATAAACACAAACCAGTGAGTGGTTCTGATTATTTTTTAAGGGGATAAGGATCGGTCTCTTGTATTTAGATAACTGGTTTGAATCCAGCCCACATTAGTAGTCTTTGCACTCTGGCTTTTTGACAGTCTGTGTGAAATGTGTTGGTCTCAGTGCAGTTCCTAGTGGATAAGTGTGCACATTAAAAACTATAACCACAATTGTACTGATGAAAAGGCCATACAGACTGAACTTGCTCCTCGCATCTATAAAGGGTCCTTCAATGGCAGAGTTGAATCTCATTTGAGTACTGATCAGCGTGGAGAGCATGTTGCTTTTGCTCATGGTGCGTGTAAAGAATTTCAGTCTTGGCTATCAAGTCAGTATCTAGCACCAGCACTGAGCAGAAGGTCAACAGAGAAACTTCTGATCTAATCGGAATGTAAAGCTGCGGTTCTCAGCCACTGTGAGGGAAGAAACCCTAAAGAACCTGGGCATGTGTCTTGCTCAGTCACCATATAGGTTTCTGGCTATGGACCAGTTACCATATTTTTAATTTACATTAATTTGTTACATTTCAAAATGAAGTTGTTAACTATCTTTCTACAACTTCTGTATATGAAGAAATAGAATTACTGTAGGGCTTAAATTTGAAGGACACTGAAGTCCTTCAAGCCATCTGTTTTTGGGCCTGTAAGAGTGTAACACCTCATACATTTTTGTTCTTTGACCATAGTAAGGCTTTTAAATTGATCCTTCCAGACCTGAATAATGATAAACACTTGGGCCAAGATGTTCCAGTGTAGCAAATTATTTTTAGTGCCTCAATTTTTTGAGTGCTTAACTTTTGAGATACCTTAAAGGGGCCTGATTTGCAGTGCCCAGGACTTTCTGAAAATCAGATCCGTGAAAGCATCTCACGTTGGACACCCAAAATCACTTTTAAAAATCTGGACCCTGATATTTACCATGCCACACAGACTTGATGTCACTCATCTGTCTAAAGTCAAGTATTTGATACTTCATTCCATCTATACTTAGTTCATGATTCAACTGATGTGGCTAGGAATGCTGCATAGTGCAGAAGTCAGCGTTTAACCTCTTTGTCAGTGAGACTGAACTGTTACCACAGTCAGTTTTTTCTCAACTGATGTGTGATAAGAGCTCCACTGCAGCTTCCTGTTTGCTTTTCCTAATGGCTGTGTGTCAAGTACTTGTTTCTTGGTTTTTGCAAATATGCTCTTATTCTATTGCTAGTTATTGCCAAAAGAATGAATTCCTTGGAGTTTGCAGCGAGACCTTCTTGGGTTTTTCCATTTTCCCAGATTCTACATGTTCTCAATCTTTTTGGTAACTCTCCTTTAATTTGTATTGGGGTTGGTCTCTCTTGTCCCTCACTGGAAAATATTGACTTGAGAGAATCATCCTTTAACTGAGCTACGAGTAGAGTTATAGGAAGTCAGTCAAATTTTCAGCTCTACTTGGGTCCCAGGGCCAAGATCCCACTGAGATGACACTAATGCTCAACATCTAGAACAGTGGTTCTCAAACTTTTTAGCAACCTGAAGAGACCCATTTTGATTAAAAAAATTTTTGTGGACCCTCAAGCTCCCCACTCAGCCCCAGGCCCCGACCCCACTCCACCCCTTCCCTCAAGGCCCCACCCCTGCCCCTCCTCTTCCCTGCCTCTTTCCACCCCCTCCTCCGAGCATGCCCCGTCCCCACTCCTCCCCCTCCATCCTAGCACCTCCTGCACGCCGGGGAACTGAGGGTAGGTACTTTAGGGGGTCCACCAGCCATGCTGCTCGCCTCCTCCCCCTCCCTCCCAGTGCCTCCTGCACGCCGCTGAACAGCTGTTCCCCAGCATGCAGGAGGCACTGGGAAGGAGGGAGAGGAGTTGAGGGAGGGGCTGGCGGACCCCCTGAATACCCTCGCAGACCCCAGTTTGAGAAACGCTGGTCTAAAGGTTGATACAAAGTCTATCCTCTGATCTCTTACATAGCATCATTGCAAACTGCTTCGCAAACTATATGTGTAGAACAGCACTGGATAGCCCTCTTCCCAGAGATGACTGTATTAGCTAAATAACCCGTTGTGCCACAGTGAGAAAAGGGCAAATCCCGGTGTTCAATCCTGTGGCATCTTTAATATCTAGACATTTCACACGCGGTCTCTTCTAAAAGCCCACTCACCACCACGTGCAGTAAATTGCATAGAACTCAGTTTCCTGCTGAAGGATGAAAGGTTTTGACCCTGCTGGGATTTGAACCTGTGCTTCTGGAGAGTTTTGGAGCCTTATCCTAAAGTTTAGATCACTGGCTGAGCCATCCCCTTAATGCATTTCTTTTGATTATTTGCATAGATTGTTGGGAGCTGAGCGAGTGTTTCAATCAATACCAGACACCCTGATTTCAGTACTGTGCCCTGCTGAGTGCGTGGCTTGTATCTGCTCTAACTTCAGCAGACGGAGGGCATACCTCCAACATGGACAGTGATCGTATTGCTGAAATGCAGCTATGCCTCGTGATTTGCATAACACACATGTAACAGTGAGATCAATTATACACCTCGCTTTCCAAGGAAACTGATGGGAGCTCCATTTCCTCAGTCATTCAGAGCTCTACAAAGTATGTTGCAGTGACTGGGGGGCTGGTGGCATGGTTTTAAACTGCTCTTCTGCAGAGAGGCCCACTTTGTGTTATGTAACTGCTATTGTAGTGACACTATACAAGCTAAAAACTCTCTGGGACTCAAATTTGAAGAGGGACCTCATCTTTAACTTCTGCGTTTGTGTAGTCATACTCTCATTCTGCGGCATTGTTTATCCCGTGGTGCTGAGG